TTATTATTATTATTACTATTATTTTCGTTTAATCAAATTAAATTAAACTAAATTCAATTAATACATATTTATATTTATATAGAAATAATAAAAATAAAATAAAATAAAAATAATTGGGTGTTACAATTTATATCCGTCCATTTTTTATCTGGGTCGTCCATCGCGTTTGATCTGAACTGTCCAATCGCAATTAAATAGGGAGTAAATCTGAACAGTTCATCACGATTCAATCTGAACTGTCCATCGCAATTTAATCTGGACCATCCGATCGCGTTTAAATCTGGTCATCCGATCGCGTTTGGAGAGAGAATGCATCTGAGCCGTCCGTGTGCGCGGGAATGAATTTGGACCGTTCGATTACGGGTACACGGATCACCCGCGTGGCACTGCGTCAGCGTCCGCTGCCATATAGCGCGTGCTGATTGATCAGAGCTGCTGACCGGGCGTCTCACGTGGCAGAACTTTCTAAATTACAGTTTGACCCCCAGTTTCGATTTTTCTTTTAAAAATACTCATAGAACCCAAATTTTTACCCCTTTTTTTTCCAAAATTGTTTTCAATTTCATACTCCTTCAATTTTTACTTCATATTTTATCATAAATAAAATAAAATTAAAAATTAAAAAATTATATTTATTAATTTTAAATTACATACACTTTTTATTTTTGGGCTGTTACAAGAGTAGAGATCATAAGCAGCATGGTAAATCCAAAAAAAAATCTTAATCCAAAGAAAAATTCAAATGTTATCACCGTGATAAAGAATGATTTATTAAGATGTAAGTCATTTAACAAAGAACATAACGATGAGAAGACTGAAAAGAAGGTAGACAATAATAATACAAATGTTACTATACTTGAAGAATTCGAAGAGCTTGTATGGTTTTTCTTTAAGGAGGATCATTTTAACATTACCGCATATCTTTATCTTAAGTGACTGTTAATATAGGGGTATGTTAACATGCTACTCCTAAAAGTGATATTTTTTTTCCGTGCAAGACAAAAAAAATTGTATATTAAAAATGAGCAATACCACCTATTTGGATATAGTAAATGCTAGAATAATTC